TAATATTATCAGAAGCTTGAAGGAAACAAGAGAGGATAAGTCTCAAGAGAGATTGTTTTCATTATTTTTGGTAAGTGAAACAAATATAATATGCTAATTGTTTTTAAGTTATTCAGATTATTGGATCATGCTGACAGGATGCCACAAAGAAAGAGTGGATAGAGAGCAAGAAGTTGGAGATACTGAAGACAGGATATAGCTCTAGAAAGATTCTAGAGAAGAAAAAGAGCATTAGGGTAAGGGCATGAGTGGGCAGGTCAACCTTGAATGAAAGAGAAACATTTCATCTTTTAGGAATAAAAGACAGGGAGGATGGGTATGGAAGTTTTTAGATGGTAGGAAGTTGAGGAACACCAGAAAAGATATATTCATTTACCTCAATAAAACAGATGATGAAATAATCTGCAGAGTGTGAAGAACATGTAGGTTTAAGAGGAGCCCTGAGCAGGTCTGGAATTATCTTAGAAAGAAACAGCACCAGGGCTCAAGCTCAAGGTAAAGACTGAGAAGTGATCATTGACTAAGGGAACATGATATTTTAAAAACTGTCTTTGAAATAATTTTTCATAAGATAATTTATTTCATAATTTGGTTTATGACTTCACATTTCACTCAGCAGTGATTCAGAGTAAGGCAGTACTTACTTTCCTTATTATTTTATAAAACCTAGCTTCAAATTGAGGTCATGTCCACAATGACATTAAAATGTCAAGAAAAATCTAAAAAGCATCATTTTATATTTGTATAATTTCTGCTTATATTTTTGTTATATTTGTATAAACTCCCACTTATATTATCACAAGCAGATTTTTTTAACCTTAAAATACTACCCTGACTGGTAGCTATTACTTTTCCTGCTTCACAAATGAAGAAACTGAGTATCAGAGAGGTAAAAAGAATAACATATTCTATATTTTACAGTAGGTAGAAATGTCAGTACTCAATCCCAAGTGTTTTACATGCTGAAGCAGATTTTTTCCACTATATCATAAATTTGTTTTAATTGGATATCAAAGATAACTTGAATTTATTTATTTTGTCCATGTTTGTTTTGTATTTAAGAAATATAAATAATATTATCCCAAATCTACTGAAAGAAAAATATGAAATTGATCAAAAGTCACTTTAAAGAGTAATATGAACACTTTTTTATCAACAGCTGATTTTAGACATTAAATCAATAACTTTCATAATTTAAAAATGTATCATGCTTTATAGAAATATTTAAGAAACACATTCTAAATTTAAAAATGATCTTTATTGAGAATGTAAATGTAGTTAGGTGACAAGTTAGCATTTGTAATAAATATTAATCCCTGTTTTTCTCATGTTTTTAAGAGTTCTTTTATATCTGCAAAAATAAAGGCCAATCCTAGACAGCAGGTCAAACTTTTCACCAAAGTTTGCAACTAACATCTAGGGTTTTTTGAAAATCATTTCAACTGTTGGGATATTTGATTTTGCAATTAGATGAGCCTACCAAAACAGTGATGAATCTACCAATGTTTGAGAAGAATTTAGGCTAGAAAATCTTGCCTAAAACACTCTAAACTGTGCAAGAATTTATAATATTCCTGAAAGTATAGAATCACCATAATTAAATCTATAAATTTCAACAGATCTATGTCTGTCAGCAGACAAAGAATATTTCCAAATAAGAATATTTCTATGTATGCACATTTTGGGGCCCAAGCCTTAATAATGGTTCAATAGACTTAAGAACATAAACTTGTCACCAATGCCCAAAATAATGTATATGCTTCAAATTCCATTATAATGCAATAAATATATTATTAATCATTAAACTAAGAAGTAATGAAAAAGTTTCAAAAATGTGCAGGCATTGATTTCTGAATATACAAACATCACTCCTTTGCATCAGCAGTAGCCTGAGACTTAATTAGAATTGCAAAGAAACATATAGATTATCTAATTCAACTCCTTAATTTGAGAGACAAGGAAACTAGGCCCAGGGAAGAGAGCTTACCAAGGTTTAGTTGAGGTAAAAGTGGAACTAAAATCCAGGTATCTGGATTCACAGTTTAATGTACTTCCCAGAAGTAGCATAGATATAAATAACCTCATGTAATTTCATCTGGCAAGCAAATTCAGAGGCTGAGTAGAACTTCAAGGATCACGCTGAGTTTGCTGTTTTATCAAATTCAAAACCACCTTCTATAACAAATGGATAACTAGATAACATTATAATTTCAGAAGGAAAATTATTCTAATTAATTAAGCATCTTATATAAACACTACTCAAACCATGTTATTCAAGGGCTTTTCTAAGTAACAATCAAATACAAAAAAACAAATAGTTCTTGCTGAATCTTTCTCAGAATCATTCCTACTGAAAATCCATAGCAGAAACAAGTTAAATAAAACAAACTACAGTGTATGACAAAAACAACAAATTAACAAACTAGTACTTTTAATCCCACAGCCTTCAATTATAAATGACGCAGTGGCAATTGAGCATTGATTTGCATCTCTCACCAATCAAAAAGCTAAATAAATCATTGTGTAAGCTCATTGGTTTATATCACTACCCTGATATATATTAGCTTCTGGAAAATCATTCTGAAGAACTGAATCATCTGGATCATTTTTATTACTCACTCAAGCTTGACACTGTCTGCACAGTACTGACTGAAATGTACTTCAGTATGCACCTTCTTTCCAAATGAATATCTATGTCAGATTTATTTATAGCCACTGCCTTCAATCAGTGCATTTTCAGGTATGAGAAATAAAATCATCTCAAAAACACTTTTCTATAAAGATCTGAAACAAAACCTGGAAATCTTGGCAAATGGCCTTTGAAAAGATAATGAAAGATTTATAACAAAACATACATTAAGATTTATTGAGATTCCAATGAATACTCATCTTATACTCTTTAATAAGGAACATGTAAATTCCATGGCAGAGAAGTAATTTAAACCCTAAGCATCGTTTTGAATAACTCTTTATGTACTCCAAGATTATTATCATCACCTTCTCCATTCTCTTTTCCCTATTATGATTTCTCTGAAATTTAGGCACTCTCTTTGTTTCTTACTTAGATGCTTTTCTCTCTATTTAGGAGCTTTTCCTAATTCTTTACAAAAGCAGGGTATGCTTCCCCCTGCTGGGAAAAAATCAAATTACAAGGTACATCAGAACATGTTCCTAAGTACTGTATCAAGAAATCAAGTTTCTGGGAAAGATAAAATGTTAAGGAACCAGGTACATACCTTCTCTGACTGTTTTACCAACCACAAAAATACCTATGCACTCTGTTACAAGTATCTTTTATGAATTTCTTTAGCTTGGATGTTTTCAAGCACAGTAACTCACATTAATGACTGATGAATTAATCATTGAGCCAGTTGTCCCAAATGGAACTCCAATTAGCAGATCAGAGAAAATGATCAATTAGCAACTTTTTTTAACTTTAAAGAAATCATAAGCTAAATGAAGAAACTTATGGAAAATCTATTAAACTATTTTAGAAGGCTTAATTGCATTTAATCATTTCAATCAACCTTAAGTATTAATATTTATTAACTCATCATTTTTCTATTATTTTTATGTAGTTGTCTTTTGTGACAAAATACAGGGAAAGTTTAATTTTAAATGACTTTACTTTTCCATTTTAATTTTTTTATTCACTAACCAAGAAAGTAGTAAGCATAATTGCATTTTACCTCTCCATTTATCCCTAAAACAAGTTTTTTTCCTTGAAAACAGTTTAGTTATTTCATGTTTCATGTTTTTATTATAAATCTTTTCCTAATTATTTAGAATGCAAATATGGAAAAACAACTTACACTTTAATGCTATTATAAATAACAATCCATCAATAAAATATTAAAGTATATCTAATGCCTATTTACATCATGTACGAAGGAGCAGAATTTATCCTTCTATGGTACAACTAAGTCTCAGAAAAAAAATTTTAATGCTCAAGGGCTTGAGTAGGCAGAAGTTGTCCCTTTTAGTTTTTTGCTTTCCGTAAGTCCATAACAGCCCCCATTGCAAAACTGCATTGTAGCCAATTTGATGATGAAGTAATTCATTATTAATGAAGAGTTCATCCGAAAAAATCTGCAGATGGTTTTAAAAGGAGTGTGTAAATTACTACAGATATCAGGGGTGTCTTTTAGTAGTTAGAGGACATTATTTCGACACAAATGGAGTAATCTGATTAATATTTCTGTCATACAGAAGTTTGTGTGTGTGTGTGTGTGTGTGTGTTTAAACAACCTTTCAAAGCAATGCAAAAGACTAGACATATATGTCCCTCTGGGCATGGAATCTCCTTTAACATTACAGGTACACAAAAGAAAATGCACACTTGGTAAAACAGTTGATCAATTACAGAGTATTCCCAGGGACCAAATATCTTACAGAATACACAATCATCACACTTCAAATAAATTTATAAGCACTTCAGCTTCTGCTTGCCACATTCACATACACACACAAGAACATGCACAGTTTAATCTAGGTGAATTCTGAGACTTTCCATAGCAAAGACTTGCATTAAAAGGTATCAAAGTCACTGAAAGAAAGAAAAGAAAGAAAAAGGAAAAAAAAGAAAAAAGAAAAAGAAACGCTGATCTGTAGCCAAGAAGCCCTCAGAACACTACTACATGGATCACCATTTACTTCCAAACTGATTTCCCTTCCCTCTGCGAAGTGAAAATATCCCTGTAGACCGCGTCACACTTCATGGCTTTTTTTTTTCCTACCAAATATCCTAGCAGGTCCCACATCACCCCTGCCACCACATCTCCTAGCTTTGATCGTCCCCCAATTAAAGACGTGGAGCAGGAGCACCGCCGTCCGCCCGGAGACCGCGCTCTGCCTGCCTGAGCTCTGAGGCGAGCATCTTCAGGGGGACAGTCTCCGCGAAGGCGACGACAGGCGTCCCTCCCCAACTTCACTCCCCTCAGCGAGCCGCGGCCGAGACGGGCAGCCGGCGGTCGGCGCCCACCGGTGGGGGCAAGTCCTACCTTCCGCCAAAAGGCGCGACGCGTGCACAAAAGATGGATCCAGGCTATCTTTCTCTGCCATCAGCTCAGGCAAATATTTCTCTTCTTCCATAGCGCGGACTTCGGACTGTCCCCGGGCGAAGCGCGAGGTTCCGCTCGCTCGGACGCGGGGGTCGCCGGGCAGCGCCTCGCTCCCGCGCTGTTCCTCCTCAGCGCGCCGCGAGGGGACTTCGGAGCGTCCTCACCGGCCCATGCGCCGCGCGCCTGCGACTCCCGCCGTCGGGCTACGCGGCCTCGCGCCCACACCTGCCGGTCCCTTCCGTCGTCCCTCAGTCGCGCGGAGCCCCGGCTCACACCAGCGGCCTTAACTGGGGAGGCGGGAACAGGGCGCGGCCCACCTCCGCCGACCACTCATTGGTGATGGTGCCAGGGAAGGCGGGGCGTTCGCGAAGGCCCCGGGCTCTCATTGGACCGTGCCGCACGTCGAGTCGCCTGACTGACAGGAAGCAGCTGCAGAGGGGAGGGGAGCTCGGAAGGTGCAAACGCTTTCTTCTTGCAGCCCAAGCCTTCCCTGGTTATTAGGCATGCCCAGTTCTGTGGAGTCCTCTGTGTCTTCAGCTGAGGTGCTGACAAGGGAGAGAGCGGGAAAAGCACGGTTAAACAGAGAGGCCCGGGTCCAAGAGGATAGGGGAGATGAGGATGAGGGGGGTGAGCGGCTGAGAGGGTCGGAAAGCGCCAGGGAAAAAGTCTCAGGAAGGTAAATGGGACTTCACCTGCGTCCCTAAGGCACAGGTGTCTCCTGCCTCTCACGCGGCTCAGACGCACTCCAGTTGTGCAGGAATCAGCAACGCACTGGGTCTGGAAACATAATTAAGACCCCATGTGGTCGGCAGCTGGTATTTCTGATGACCTACATCCCGGGGACGCAGTAGCATGTTCATTGATAAACAAATAAAGCGGCTCCGGGGCGATATTGTACAGCAACACGCTTCCAGTGTATAATCATTGGGGTATTGAATTAGTTCTGGTTACCCGGCCATGCCTCTTTCCCTGATCCCTATCTGTGGAAGGGGCTGGGGGTGGGGTCTGAATTTAAAAACTATTAATAAGAAGCAACATAATTAGTCAGTTTGTGAAGGGATTGGGAAGACATGTAGAAGAAAGAAGAAATTAGCAAATAGGTAACTACAGTTGCTCTAATATTCCCCTTTCTTCTTATTTTAGATTTGACATTCTCTTTTTAACCAAGAACTGTTGCTGAGTTACTTTATATTATCCTATCTCTGTTTAAAGGAGAGTTAAACCCTCAGGGTATCACCAACAGTAGAGTCAGAGTTCATCCTTCTCTTACCAATGCGGCCTTAAAATGTAGCTTGCTTACTACAAACGCTACAAAAGCAATCCTTCCCAATGTCTTGGGTCCTCTTTTCATAAACAGTCATTTTCCAACTCCCCTTTCCCCCACCGTTTTTGGTGTGGAATATCAGAAACCAACTCTCCTACAAATAAAACACGATGAAAATTTTCCAAGTTCTCTTCCTGCATTCAAACCTTTTCCCTATTTGTTAAAATTTTTTTAGATGAAGTTGGGAGATTATCTTGCATTTGTCTAACATTTAAAAATTTTAATCTCCCTCACATTCATTCAATCAATTTTTCCTTACAGAAGCACTCTGAAAACCATCGGCCAAGTGTTACTTTCTCTGTTTTTATAGATGTGGAAACTGAGGCAAAGATAAAGCACCCAAGTCTCATATCTGGTTAATGCTAAAGTTGAGGTTAAAATTCAAGTCTGTTTAGTACCATTCAGCTCCAGATTGTAGTGCTTTAGCCTACCTTTCTGTATGTTAAATATTTAATTTACTTACACATCTATACATTCAATAAATGTGTATTGGATATTGAAATGAGTGTAAGGACTGTACTTGAAATTGGAGAATCATTGGGAAGATACATGTATTTGTTCCCTATCATCCTAGAGAAAGAAATGATAACTGTTGGCTGCAGTAAAGGCCAAGAAGGAACCAATCAAGGAGTTAAGAAAAAATACAAGGACAGACTTTTTTTTTTTTTTTTTTTGCCATGGTAGATAATGCAGTCTTGCTAAGGAGCTGACATTTAAGGCAAAAACTAATGGAAAAGGTGTTAGTTGTATAAAATGTCCAAAGAAAAACATTCCAGGCAGGGGAACTTGCTCACACAAAAAGTATATGGTGGGAAAGAGTTTGGCCTATTCTTGGAATTGACTGACATGTCAATGTGACTACAGTGATCTAGGAAAGAATGTGATCAATAAGGGTGGGGGATGGATGGGGACAAACTACCCAGAATTTGATGGATGAAAAATGATTTGGGTTTCATTCTAAGTGCAATGGGGGACCACAAAGGATTATTGTCTCTCTGTTTAGATGTGGTTCGCAATCTCTTTCTGGCTCTTATATTACTTCCAAAGAAGAAGATATAATTTGTAATTAAGGACATATACAGAGAGCGCTTGCTCTTTTATTTTATTGTGTTCAGAATGTTTAGTAGTTAAAGGATCATTCATCCTGCACCTGGTCTGCAACAGAGATATAAAGGGAAAACATGCCACCAAACTTCAAAGAGGTGCCCAGGATTTGCCATAGTAGTGAAGGATAAATAAGATGTCAACCACAGCTAATAAACTGTAAATGTTTTAAAATAAATATAAACGAGGAAAATCATTGCACAATTGCAATCACATTTTGCTTTGCAGTGTACCAAGAGATTAAAAGCATATGGTGCTGAAGGGGGGCATGCATAAACCCAGTTTTACGAATCAAACAAAATATGTAACTCTTATGTCCAGCAACAGCAATTACATTATTATTCACAGTCTTCTTTACCATGATTAAAGGTGAACTAAGCAGATACCATAGAGAGCTATCCAAGTGCTGACTTTATTATACAATATCTCTTGGTATATCCAGGTTATTATAAATATGGTCAGCTACCTAACTTAATTTTTCTTAGTTATCATTAAAACTAAGTATTTATTATTAGTACTTTCTCAGGTAAACCCTCATTAAATGCATTCTAACAGAAACAATATATTTATGGAACTAAAAAAATAAAAGAAACATTAACATAACCTTTAGAAAAGTTTGTGTACTTAGTACATGATGGCTATTATAAAATAAAATAAAAATGTAAGCTGCATTGACCCTTAAGAATTAATGTGCTTTAGAATTAACTCACAAAATATTTTTATTTTTAAACAGAATATGGCTGAATAAAGGCAAACTCCAAATGCCCTACTTGTCTAGCATCACATCCATGTGTTTTCAATAGATGGCTCTATGTTACTGTGTGTTCTCCACTGATTTCACATACCAATATTTATAGGTACTACATTATTTGTTGGATATTCTAAAAGTAGCCTCATGAATGTGAATCTTTTATAAACATGAATGTAAATAAATTAAGAACCTTCTATAAATGATTGTTGAATATAGATTATTTTGTGCCTAAACATGAATAAATCATAAGTGCTGGTAAGCCCACCTCTTCTTCTAATGGCGTAAATAACTTAACCAAAATTACCATTTAGTTGATTTGTCTAGCTTAAGTAAAGATTTATTCTTATTTTAAACATGAGTTCTAGTCTCAAAAGTCTCTAGTCCCAAAAGGTTTCTTGAAAATGGGTTTGCAGTCACTGCACCATTATTTAAAAAATGGGATATTATGGAAAATTTTGCCCTTTAAGCAAACTCAGTTTTGAAAGATGAATAAGTCATGCACTATACAATAAGTTCTGTGGTTAATGCCCAAACTGTGTATTTAATACTTTCACATACCCATGTAAGAAAGGCCAGGATAAAAGGCATTTACTCAGATTTGTCTTTGCACACTAATAAAAAATACCTAGACTGAATCATCAAATAAAACACACAGTTTCTGTTTCTTTCAAAGTTCCCAACAACTCTGTGGATACCACACTAGTTTGACTATTTACTACAAGGATTCAGCAGAACCCATTCCCAATAAGAACCATGGGTTAAAATTTTCACAGTTTAATAATTTATGTGATGATAATGGAGTTTGATGGTGTTAATATTCACTTATTCTAATGCCTTAGTGCCTAGGACAGAGTATATGAAATATTGACTGACTCATTTTCATTTACGGAAGAGCCTGGCAGAGCCCATTACATAGAAGATGCTATTTTAATATTTCAATTTCCTTTAGTTTCATTAACTACATATGTGAAATCAGTTCCAATTTCTTTTAGAACTTTCATGATATATTTTTGGGTTGTAAGAGAGGTCAAGGGAATGAGGACTTGGCTCTACTGATAACCAATAGTAGTAATAGCATGTAGAGTGAGAAATCTCTCATATGTAATGGGCTCAGGACCAAAATTTATGCTATGTGCTAATAAACCACAGCACAAAATGAATATTTGCCTTTGGAAGCTGGCATGTGTATGTGTGTTTTCTGATGAGAAGGCTTTCGAATTAGCATATTATATTTAAGCTGATACAAATATACAATTAAAGAACAGCAGAAGAGAGACAGAGAGGAAAAAAATGACATAATGTTAGAAATATTGCTCTTCTGAATCATCAGAACTGGAAAGAAGAAAAGGAAAGCCAAGGAAGAAATGGTTCTTAATTCCAAAGTGGCCTAACAGTCCAGATAAACTAACTATTCCTAATGCAGAAATTAACAGTATTTGGGAAAATGATAGAGTTCATGTTGTATTTCTGTGGACAATTGCTGCATTGACACATTTTGGACATCCTGATAGCAGCTGAAGAGCAGTAATTCATTATGGGAAAGGGGAAATGAAGCTTGCCTTCCCAGGTGAAAGTTATTGACTGACTTCTTAAAATTAAATCCTTGAATTGTTGAATTGTATGTAGCTCAAGTATTGATTATTTCTGGAGATCAATATATTAAGGTAAAAAATCACATCAGTAAAGTATATTTTTCATGCACAGCAAATGAAGATCTGATCTCTGTTGTATTCAGTATAAAACAAATAAATAAAGGCTAAAAGATGATTTGATAAAAAACAACATACATTAAAATTGTCAGAGGCAGATGAGTAAGCAATTGTATATCATAACTAATATAAGGGAAGAAACACTGGATGTTAAATTTCAATTTAATTTAAAGATTATAACAAAACCACTTCTGGAAAGTATTGCTAATACTGAAAATTTTTTAAGAGAACATCATCCAATTCAGGTTTTTAAATTACTGCAGACACTTGTTTGGCATATTTTTTGTTATTCTAGTCTCTCATATTAAAATATATTGCTATGCATTTAATAAACCTTATGAAATCCTACTGTATAAAATAACTCTTATAAAGCAGTATCAGGCATACAATAGTAATTAAAAATGATAATACAATGGTAATTAGAAA